AGCATCCTCAATGCCTTGTAGATGAGAGATGAATTCAAAGACATTGGGATGTGCTTTTCTCGGTGATTTGTTTAATTGGGAATGCCAACCCTCCAAGTCATTGTTCGTACGATCGCCATCGTTACCGAACTGATTCCACATGGACACTTTAAGCATAACATCGTCGTCTACCCAGGTTGTTGTCACATAGTCTGCAAATGTATTCACTAAGGGCTGTTTGGGTCTGTCGTCAAGTGCTTCTATCCAAGCTTCTTGTACCATGTCGATGGGCAAGAGAGGAAGACATGCTGCTGGACGAACTATAGCTTGCACTCCAGCATCTCCCTTGTAGTCTGTAACAAGTCCAATGGTTTGCATTGTTCTGAGCATACATTGGCTGTACTTCTTCGATGGCTTGAACGGCAGGTAATTCAAAGTCTGTTTGGACGATGTCTGGGCCAAGTTCAGCTCCAGATGTAGTCAGGACTACATCTTTGATATGATTCAAGAGTCTTACATAAGTATCTAGTTGTCTGGCATGCGGGCATAGGCAACTGGAAACATAGTATTACCAGACATACAATGGATGGCATAGAGTTGATTCCACAAACTTGGACAGGCGTAGAAAGTACCATCAAAAAAAAAATAGAATAGAAGTCTGTTGCATCATATCCAGCATGTCAGGCGATGAGAACACCAATAGCTTGTTGTCTCCACCATCGTCGATAACAAGCACAGGCTGACTGTCATTAGTCTGGGACCAAGGGCCATCAATCTTCACTTCAGCTAATGTTTTGTTTTGACAGTACAGCTTCATAAGCCCAGAAGCCAGCTGTAGCTTGATAAATGTGTTTATTTCGTCTATTCTTAATCAACTAAGTAAAACAACGTTCTTAAAACGACTGTGTATTTAGTCTACTCTTAATCAATGTTGGATTAGACAGAGTCTAATGTATATGTTTTGGACTGGTTTCTGGACTAATCTTTTTGTCGTTATGGGGTGATGAAGGGTGTCATTATTTGTCAAAGTGCCTACACAGACAGAACCTACAGACTGAAATATGAAAGATTTTATTCAGAATGGCATGTAGGCGCATTGTGAGGACACCTTTGGGTTAAAAGGACTGTTTAAATGGGCCAAACGACATATAAATGGGCCAAGCAAGACAACATTTCTGAATACGGCTAGCCCAACATGAAACGAATTCGTATGGTTTCATCCATGACTTCATCCAAGATGCCAAACCCAAACAGAAGAAGAGAATGACTACTGATTAACCCTTTTCAAACGTATTTATAAGATCATGACGTCCTAATTAGGAGATATTAAGTCCTAATTAGGAGATACTAAGTCCTAATTAGGAGATAGTATCACCTAATTAGGAGATAATATTTTTTTCTATGTGACCCTAATACGCTTCCATAGTCTTCCGTACCCTCTCAGGAGGACAGTGTTAAAAAGATACATAACTGTTTTCACATTAAAATATCTATCCCTTATGATGGAGAATTCTTGCAGGACATGCTTGACCGTAACTCTCTCATCACAAGGGATACAAAACGTAGGATCTTCATCTTTTAACAGGTATTTGTGAGTATAACGCCTGTGGCCAATACGACATCGTCGCATAATGACTCCTTCAAATCTGGACTGACAACCCAAGTAGGTGTAACCAATATAGGGTTTTATTTCATGTAATTTATTGATACCTACTTGGGTGTCCCACTTCTTCTGCATCAAATCACGGATATACGACCTGATGACAGCTTTATAATCAGAGTATGGAATAAGTAGTGGTGTCACAGATTTGTTGAGTGCTGCCTTGGCAGCAAGATCGGCCATTGTATTACCAGATATACCAACATGGCTGGGTAGCCAACAAAAGACGATGTCATATTGGCCAGTTGCAAGATCATTATAAAGTTCAATAATCTCAATTAAAAGTGGATGTTTACAAGACAGATTTTTAATAGCCTGAAGGCAAGAAAGAGAGGCAGAAAATATTATATATTGTTTATGTTTAGGGTGTATATTTATATATTTAAGAGCTGTCAGTATTGCTTTTGCTTCTGCTGTGAAAATTGAACTGTCATTGGGTAAACTGGAAGAGATGATCCCGTTAGCCGCCTCTTACAACAAGCATGGGTTTCAGATTATCATGTGTTTATGAATCTTTGTCAAACGGTGAGGATACCAGGTGTGAGCGAAAAGGTGAGCGTATCCTGCCCCACCGGTGACACACGTCATAAATAAGGCTTTCAGGCCTTCTTGCAACCCCACCCATTGGACGGTAATTGTCCTCCAGTCGTGAAAGTACACCTTTTGTTTGTCAAACATTCGGGTATCGTGGGACATAAACCTCCCCATTTTTAAGCGAATGTATGCAAATGTATTGCAAATTACCATGCAGGACAGATTCTAGTGTGCAGGAATACTTTATTAAAATCACTTGACAAGGTCCTTTTCAAATAAATTATCACCGCATACAGACATCAGCGCATGTTTTCAATAGCGAGACATCAGATGGTTGGCAGGACATGTCTTTGCTTCCACTTTGAATAGAGAGTATCGAAATCAGCACGTTATAGCCAATTGTGAAAGATACTCTGTAACATCATTTCTATTAGAATCTGGCAACACATTTAGACAACGGCTGTTGAAAAATGCACTGACGTTTTTAGAAAGCTAATTAACACGAATTACTTGAATAATTACGTCACCCCAAATTACACCTTTTTCCATTCGTGACCAACTCGTGTTATTCCGGGACAAGCCGAATAGCGACTCGTGCCCCTCTGGAAGGATTTCATATTGGTGCATGAACATCAGAACTACTTTAAACAGGAACGATAACTCCATTCCTGTTTCATTCCAATGGTACTTAATATCATCGAAGCACTCGTATATTGCACGGCTGTTTTTCTTTTTGCTTATATACTTTAAAGAATTATCCATGGTACAAGTAAAATAAAGAGAAATAAGGACATATTCTGTCGTAATTATTATGAGATGTTCATCTAATATTTACAATTATATTTCTGAAAAGGGTTTAATAATCATAAATGGGATTTGTTTTATTGAATATGCAAATGATTTATAAAAAAACCCTGCTCATTAAATCTCAAAGCAGAAATGACTTTAAAATATTTCTCAAACAGGAACATACATGTAACCTTGCTGTCATACCCCAAGTGGAATTATAAATGAACAAATGGAAAAATATATGAATGACCCAAAAAATGTCAGACTAAAATATTCCCAGAAATATACTGACGTACAAACGTTAACAAGGCTGATAACTTATTGAACAGGTTATGGTCGACATGGGCAGAAACTAGAGAATTCACGATCAGTGGGTCCATTGGGGAAACACAGCAAAACGTGAACAGAAGTCTCTAATAGGGAGTTTGTCCACCTCTGGATAGAAAACATGCAAACACACTTCTTCTGACTGAAGTTGTGAGGCGTCTGATGACGTCAGCTGGGATTCGCCTCCATTCTTCAAGGGCTTGAGTCATTTGCTGTGGATTCTGTCTCCGTTGAATAACTCAAGGTGGTCCCATATGTGCTCGATTGACGACATGTCAGGAGAGCGTGCAGGCCATGGCAGGACGTTGACGTTGTTGGCGTGAAAGAAGTTCTGGACAACTCGAGCGACCATGTCTGTCTGTCAGCAGCCTCCCTCGGTACGGTCGGCAGACCCTGATACCATAGGCCCGTAGTCTCCTTGACACTATCCTTCGACTCACTGGGTGACCGAGTGCTGTTGACGCTGATGAAGTTACCGTCAGGAAGCGGTTTCTAAGGTGTAACGTCCTCAGGTGGCGGTCTTCCTGCGCAGTTGTCACCCGGGGTCTGCCTGTCTGAGGTCTGACCAGTTTGTTGGTAGCGCCGACGAAGGTTCCTGACGGTCACGACGGAGCAATTGAAGGTTCTTGCAACGTGACCCGTTGTAGCGCCCATTTGCAGCATTCCGATGGCCCTCTCTCGGCATTGTAAAGTGGTTTCTGCTGAAGTACGATCTGCTCTGTGCTGTGAGGTGATTTTATACCATGCATGCACGTGCATTTCACCCTTACTTGCAAAACACGTGCATTTTGCTGTTTTCGATGCAAAGTTGTCAAGAGGTGCGTTTGAGCGCTGATGTTGGTCAGAATCGAACCCTTGTTGTTGGCAATAACTATGGGGCAATTTGCATTTGATTACATTTTCTTATGTTAATATTATAAAAATTTTTGCAAGAGAAAGTTACTTTTGCTCATCAGTATACATGCCCAATGTTAAAGATTAAAGTTGATTATAGTCAGCAGTGAAAACGTACCGATGAATTTCACTCTAAACAAAAGGTAAATCGAATAAAGTGAAATTAAGATTGCGAATCCTCATAATTTTACCTTTCCAATTGAACATTCAAATCTCAGAAGTTTATTCAACTTAGGATGAAAGTTGTTTCAAATCGCTATTATTGGTTTGCATTACAAGGGGTATGTTGAAATGTAGTGTTGGTTTAAGTTAACGCTCATTACGTACGGCATGTGCATTTGTTTCACTGTTCCATCTACTGCGCTCACCCCCTTGTAATACAAACCAATAATAGCGATTTGAATTTATCACTGCACTGCACGTTTTCACTGCACACAGACTATAGTTACATATATAGTCAGAAATACACTCAGTTGAACCAGTGTGAGCCGTTATGTAAACAAACGCACGTTCGTGTATTTGAATCTCTCACTGTCAATCGCATCATTCTTATCAAGCTTCACATTAGACAGCACAATTCAGTTAGCTACTTTCTTAGTACTTTCAATATGACGATATATATTTTTCATGATTTTGTTGACAATAACATTATGCCATAAACGATTTAAGTAGTCGGGATTATTTTTATCAAAGCACCGCAACCATTACGCGTTTGTCGTATTTTCGCACGTAACAAGCTTCGAGTTCTTCATGGAGGTTACGGAAAGGGGCGAGTGGTGACGAAAGACTCTTTTCGTCAGTAACATATATTTCTCACCTTTACACAAAGGAAGGAGGTAACCTGTTTGGCATCCCTGTGTGCAATTTCCATCATCCTTATCACAGTCGGGCGACCCGCTACACTGACCACACGTGGAGGAACAGTTGATCCCATACTGACCCTGGTCACAATCTGTACAGGTGATAAAGTAAGGGACGTACATCAACATTCATTCAGTCTGTTTTTTAAACGCATGAATTGATAATAACATTGTAACAGAATTTTATGTTCAATAACAAATTACCGATCAACCTTCTAGCGCCTCACAGACGGTTTTTCGTTACCCGGGGTAATAATGTCCATCATATCGTGTGCGCTTAGAGCATGTCAATGCGATGTGGAGGCCAGCGCTAGAAGAGGTCTTATTATGAGGGGGAAATATTTTAAGGTGTTCTAAGCAAATATGTCATGCCTATTATGTTTTCTAATATCGTTCTGTAGCAAATTAAACTCTACATAATGTATGATTCTCTCATCCATGAAGCAGCGTCATCTCACCATCCTGGCATCCAACCCCTGTCTTCCCAGCACGGCAGCCACTTGTACAGTTCCCTGTGGTCTTGTCGCATACTTCTGTTTCATTCTGACACTTGCACTGCTCACTACAGTTGGTGCCAAACCAGCCATCACTGCACACTGAAAATATTCAAAGCCTAGTAAGCATTCACATGTAAATAACTGTTGTAGTTATTGTTGTAGTGGGGTTTTATATTCACACACACACACACACACACACACACACACACACACACACACACACACACACACACATATATATATGTATGTATGTGTCCTTCTGCACAGTCTAATATGGAAAGAGACAATATCATTGAGAAAACCACCATATATTAACGTATGAAATACATTCAAATGAAACTGTCAATGATCATTCTTCGTATAAGGAAAAGTAAGTTGTGTTGTTCGATGCGCTCATATAATATGAGATTTGGAGGTCACCTCATATATAGTTACCTCCCTTCCTTTCGTCCCAGGACTCCCAGGACTTGAAACTGTAATCTACATAGGCTCTATTGTCAATAACAAGGATCTCTGCATTCAAAGCGTGACAGGGCATGGCTAACAGCACCACAACCCTATCAATCGGATTTCTTCTGTTGTCATAGTGTGCTGTCATTTTGTCATTGAGTACTTTAGATTTTCCATGGCAATGTTATTATTTCGGAAAGTTGCTAATAGTCGATCAGTTGAAGCATAATTGAGCTTCATGTTGCGGTAACCATGTTATCAGCGAAAACTGTGATAACATCAACTGAGAAATCCACACACATGCAGGTTAACATATGGAAGATTGACCCATTTAACACTGTCAAAGAAAGTCTGGTAGCAGTTATACGTAGTGGCAAACACACGACTATTGTCAACAGATGTGCAGAGTTGACAGATGTTCGCAACGAGATTAAACCGTTCCAAAAATCGAAGTCTTCCAGTCAGACCTTGTTGACATAACAAAGAACATACTGATGAAGTGAATCTGTTCCAGCGTGTAAATGTCTTATAACAATAGTACTAACAGTAATATCAACGAACTGCGGTAAAAACCCATGCGGAGTTGCCACGATATGAGAAGAAGTCAACAAGTCAAAGTATTTATACGTGAACCAGTCTCATTTTAATTGACACACACATGTATAACAGCTATATAAGTGCATGAGATTTAGACAGAAATATGATTAGCGTAATTTTCGGAATATCCGCAACATCTGTATATAAAATCCGTAAGTAATTCCATCAAAAGTTTCGATACAGTGAAAATTATGCTTAAATGTTCCGAAGGTTGGAGAAGAGGGAAGGGAACGTTAAACGCTAACAAACTAAATGACGAAAATCCATGAAAAAAGCCCTTATAAATTCCTTTAAAGAAAACTTCGTCGACTGGATTATACTTCATTACTGCACTTGCGTGATATCGTTGATTCAACAACGAAATCGGACTTTAGGACATTTTCATGTAATTCTCACCTTTACACAAAGGGGGGCTGTAACCCTGTTGACATCCCTGTGTGCAGGTTCCATTAACCTTCTGACAATCAGATGACCCAGTACACTGACCACACGTGTAGGAACAGCTGACCCCGTAGTGACCATGGTCACAGTCTGCACAGAGTAAGATACTCACAATATAGCAGCATATAGAAAGAAAAATATCTTGAGATGGATACGTAATTATATATTATATGCACGATATCATAATTACTTCAAACGATATATTACAACATCATAATGCCACCAAATGTACATATTTAATTTTCGAAAGACAGAACAACAGAATAATCTGAAGTTGATATCAACGTGACCAAACCTGACCTTGTTGACACCCTGGTCCCTGTTTCCCAGAAGCACATCCAATCCTACAGTAGCCAGTCTCCTTGCCACATACTTCAGATGATTCTAGACACTGGCACCGCCTGTTACAGTCAGAGCCAAACCAACCATCACTGCAAACTACAAGGACATGCATCAGTCTCAGTTTGATAATGTTCGTAATATACTTTCTATAGTCTTAACTAGCGATGGGTATCAAACTCTATGTTATGTATCACTTTCTTGTAGAACATGTTTCACTGAAAGCTTGATATGCAGGATACGTTATTTTATCGTAAGAAGAGCTCGGGAAATATAGCCAAAGTCAGAAGATGTGAGAATATAATGACATGTTACACGTTGCTGACACCCTGGTCCTTGTTTCCCAGCAGCACATCCACTCCTACAGTAGCCAGTCTCCTTGTCACATACTTCAGATAGATCTAGACACTGGCACTGCTGGCTACAGTTAGAGCCAAAGAATCTATCGTTACAAACTGAACGGACAAAACGGAGAGCCCATTAATCCTTTGTTAACAAAAAAAAAAAATTTGATTTTTCAGTGTGAAAATATAACGCTTGGACTAAGGCCAAGTGTATCACAATGTATAACTTCAACTCACCATTATGGCAGGGTTTTTTGTCAAACTATTGTATTATCAGTTAGTATATTACAGAATATTTCCATTTTACCTGGGTTCTGACACCCTTGTCCTTGTTTCCCAGCAGCACACCCACTTCTGCAATATCCGGTCTCCTTGTCACATACTTCAGATGTATTTAGACACTGACACTGCCTCTCACAGTTCTCCCCAAACCATCCATCACCGCAAACTGCAAGGACATCAGTTTTAGTTTGATAATGTTCGTCATATACTTTCTATAGTCAGGACTAACAATGGATATCAAATTCTAGACTATTGATCACTTCCTTCCCATATGTTGAACATATTTCATGGCTACATGCTGGATACTGAATTTCATAGTAACAGAGATCGCCAAACATAACCTTTTGGACAGCATGTGGTATGAACCCAAAGTCAGGAGTTTCGAGAATATATCAACCTCGTTGGATTCTGTGGATCTGCCGTTTGTACATTATGATTTACTTAGAGTTTCGAATTCCTACAACCTTCCTAACTTCACAATTGGCACTGACCGAACCTTCTGAGAGATATCACTGTCCAGATGACCAATTTTCAATCAGTTTCTGCTGACTAGCTCCTATTTCATCATGTGCAGAGTTTGCCATATGAAATCAAACATACATTGTCACACACCTATCTAGAAGATGTTGTTGATTGAAATCTTCCAAAATTTACAAATTATATTCCTTTTCTGATATTTAAAAAGTACACCTGACAAACTTGCAATAACTGCCAGACGTATGTTTTGGTTTCTGTAATATGTAACTCTATCCTTTTATCCTAGTTATATGTGATCTGAGCGAGGTAAAGTTTCAATTCAGTTACAATTAATTACAATTACAAGTACAGTTACAATTCAGTTTTCTTCTTTCGTCTATTCGCCCATTGAGCTTCCATCACCACTGAATAATGATTGATCTGTAATTATGTGCTTTCACCATAACACACATAACACGTTATCATATTGTACAAAATAGCAAATCAAAGGTTCTTAGCATCTACACATACAGACATTTAGGTGGCAACATGTCCGTTCAGCACGTTACCGTGAATAGCTGCAATTGCTTATGCGGTGTTAAGCAATACTTATACACTCACTCACTCACTCCCGTCATGTAAGACCCGTTAAAAAAATATCTCACTTATCAGAAGCAATGTTAAACATGAGTAATGATGTACTGATTTTATTCTCTATTAAATTCACAGCCTCTTGTCAACAATATCATAAACAACATACACACTCTCGAGCTCGATGTCGATCGGATCATACTTACTAAAAACTTGAACCTCGCACAATGCCAGAAATGTCCCGCTTCTGGTGATGGTAACATTGTTCCCCTTCATTACGTGGGTACATGTGACGTCAACAGGGTTTGTGACAGGTCCATGTAACCAGTCAGGTGTTCCACTCACAGGGACACACGGGTCGCCGTTCACAAGCACCTGCAGGCCATCGTTGCGGTCCCAAACTTTAAATTGAAAATTGAAATGAAATACAAAATGTATGAATAAATTATCAGAGGGATCATGAAATACAAAGAAATGCCCAAAATATCACAAGTATTTGAACAAAGAATAGTGTTGCCAAACATCCTACACAAGAACGTTTATTTCTGTAAGACCTATGATTCAGACCAAGAAACATCATAGTAGATTAACAATGGTGCCAGGGTACAGACCCTGAGAGCAAATATATCCAAGAAAGCCCACACAAGTCTAGTAAAATGTGGCAAAAGTCCTAGATTTCTAGAAAATGTGGCTCAGCTTCAGCTTCAGGGTCTGTACCAATCTGCTGAATTCACAAGCCAGAATATGGCTTGTAATTATCAGTTGATCTCTAGCTGTCACTAGTGTTTAATATTAACTCATGGGGAGCCTCCCCCACCTCTCCCCAAGACCCCACACTGAGCCAAGACCTCCTGCTTCTGCCTGTCCTCTCACTTCAGACAAACAAGGTGTGTGATTACACAAGAGACCTGATGACTTATAAAATCTGAGTATTTTCTTTAACTGTTTCATTTTACACAGGCGAGGAGAGGTGATCATTTCGAAAAGTTTTCCATCTCAAGGTAAAAATGAATTGGAACTTTGATGAGGATGAAAGCAAATATACACAGCATTCGTCCAAATCAGAATACAATGATTGAAAAGTACTTAAGTGGTGAAGATGTGTTGTTTTGTTCTCCATCAAGGACATTCGAAATTCTCCCTATTCAGACAAGTCAGTAGAAAATACAAGCCATGCTACTGTTGTTGTTGTGTCATCCTTGATTTGCATGATGAAGAGACAAACAGAGAAATATAAATCATTAGGCTCAAAGCAGTGTACCTCAACGATGTAGGCATTTGTGACTTTATCCATAAACTTTAAAAAGACATTGTCATGGGGATCTGATGGCATATTGTTATCCTCCGCAACAACGAATTTGCGGGAATATAGAAACGAGTTCCGTCCGTCCGTGCGTCCGTCACGCTTTGTCCGAAGCATATCTCCTGAACTATTCGTGATAGCTTAACCAAACTTGGTACACATGTCAACCATGATCCCTACATGTTCCTTTTGCGGGTTAGACCCAGATATGAATGTTATTTTTTGTTGTTTCCATGGAAACATGACTTAGGCTGTGACCATGAGAATGTCATCTTGTCTGAAGCAAAGCTCCTAAATTATACATGCTAGCTTCATCAAACTGGGTACACATACCAAACATGATCCATAAATGTGCCATGTGATGGTTAGACCCAGATATGAATTTTATTTTTTGCGTTTCCATGGAAACCTGACTTGGTACACATGGTAAACTTGGTACACATATCAAGCATGATCCATAAATGTGCCATTTGATGGTTAGACCCAGATATGAAATTTTTTTTGGTGCTGTTTCCATGGAAACATGACCTAGGCTGTTGTGACCATGAGGTTTTCATCTTGTCCGGGGGGCGGTGGGGTAGCCTAATGGTTAAAGCGTTGGTTCGTCACTCCGAAGACCCGGGTTCGAATCCCCACATGGGTACAATGTGTGAAGCCCATTTCGGGTGTCCCCCGCCGTGATGTTGCTGGAATATTGCTAAAAGCGGCGTAAAACCAACTCAGTAAGTCAGTCAGTCATCTTGTCCGGAGCAGATCTTCCAAACTATACATGCAAGCTTCATCAAACTTGGAACAGACAGCTGGAAGATTGCTGAGTGTGGCATAAAACTAAAACTCACTCACTCACTGCTTTTTGAGATCCAGTTGTCCAGCCATAGGAATATCAAGAGATGCTACCCTTAGCTGGTATCCCTGCTTGCTCTCAAAATAGATTTGGCGACACTTGATACTCATTACCCCAAATCGGCCCACACCACTGGCAGTAGGACCGGGAGGCGGTGGGGGCAGTAAATATTCCTGTCACACACAATTAAAGCAGTAATGGGTGATAAGAATCTTTGCATGTGTTGTGAAATTCCAAGAAATTATCCCTCTGCAGGTTTGTTTAGTCTCTGAAAATGAAGAAAGTCTCAGGGCTCCTTTTCATTATATTTTTTTTTTTACTATGAACTTTTTTCAGTAAAATATGTTCATTTCAGAGACTAGTTGTTAGTCTACTCCACACCATACTGTACAAGGTAGGCTCATGGACAGTGCTATCTGAACATTCCTTGTTGTCCCATTTGCAAAGGCGTTTAAGACGACGTTTTGTCTTTCAGGAAGATAATGTCCTTGCTCACCGTAAACAATTCCTCATTGCTCAACGTGGTAGACCACTGACCACCATGCCAGGTGCAGCCAGGCGATTGGGACAGACAATGTAATCGACTATGGTAAAACAATATGCCTCGTCGAGTGATGAATATTTTAGAAATAGTATCGGTATTATGCATTACTGACCTAATAACGTGATCGCTGGCGGTCATATTCTGATACTTCCCTAACGGTTGTAATGTCTTCCCAATTCGTTCACTATTACCAGAAGCGGAAATATATTACAAAGTAGTTTATATTTTCAAGTTATTTCCGAGTATTCCCACTTTTCAAGAGGCTTATGATATCCAAAACGCCCTTCTAGAATTGGAATGATAAAGAAGATAAAAGTATTCTTTTGTAGTGTCAGAAGTAAATGGGCAACTCATGGATATTAATTTTATTATGCTTTGGTTTTATTGAGGATGATAATTTCGATGTGGATTGAAAGGACAGGTACTGTCATTCTAATTCTGTACCTCACACGTGTGTCGCGTTCGCGACCTCGCTAAAGTCAATCATACTCTTGCGTTTTCTCATAGACAACGACGGGATGTTTTTAAGTTTACACTTTATTAAACCAAACAAGCTAATTTCTGGAAACTCAGCGAAGTGTTTGTTTTGAAAACTATCTGCTGATAGCTTACAATTAGAAAAAACAAGCTGTAAACAGTTGGCTGTTTATCATATCAAAGTCAACTTGTGTAAGGTGTTACGAGAGTGGGTTTTTTTAATTTGTATTATCACTGATTAAGTGATAGTTATTATTGGGTCACAATGTTTAAAGTTTTGAGTGTGGGTTGTGGGTCACATTTCGTATCATATATGTTCAATGGCAATAGTATTTTAGCTGCACGCCTTTTGAGATAGCGCTTCAGAGTTGCCTCCCTTGGCTTTATTTCTGTTTTGACCGCTCGTACGTTCCACAGATTTCCATAAAGCACTGAGAGAATAATGATACAGCCACGCTTTGCTCAAAAGTTCTAGACACTGTGTCAGTATATATAAAGGCTAGTTATTGTGTTGACACGGAATTACACGGGACTTTTTATATACCTTGAGTTGTGTACATCTTTCTGTCGTCACCTGCCTACCGTCGTCGTCTGTCTGTCATCGTCTGACCTTCATTCAAGACAGTGCGAGTCTGACTGCTCTCATTGTAAACTACCTTCAGTTTGAAAATCTGTTCTCATTGTAATTGCCAAGACTCTGATGCGTTAATATTTCATATTTGTGACCCATTATTTTAGATTTGTGACTCAATTGCATTGTACTATATAGCTGCATTGTTATTTATTGTAGCTTGCTCATTGTTTGCTCAATATACTATTTGATATTTTAGACTTGTCTGTGTTATATTTTGCTGGTTCAAAGGGGACTCTTAAACCTTTTGTCACGGCAATTATTTAATCGTAACCAAGGAAGGTGTTTACTAGTCAATACAATCTAACTTCTTCTTGCGTTGCATAATGTATTTGTTTTTGTAACTAACATTTATCCAGGATAGTGGAACCTTGCATATGTTGGTGAATCAGAACGAGTTAATGTATATGACTTACGGTCGCTTCGCAGGTAGATCCTGATGCTGCTGATGTTGAACATCTGATGATCATCAAGGAGAACCTGCCAGCTGGCACCTGCGTTGTTTGTGTTAGAACAACTCCTGTGACTGAAGTCTGTGTCAGTGTTCCCATCTACAGCATACGCAGCACAGTAGGGGATGCCGCCTCCACTATAACTGCAACTCTGTGTTGCTGTCCTTTGAAAGGCAATGTTTTCTGTAAGCAGATGAACAGAAACATATCAGAAGCACAGTCGTGTGTCATTAAAGCTATTTTAGTTCACTTTGACTATAGTAATCAGGACGCCAGAGTTGGATGATATCAATATCATTAATACATTACACTATCAAGAAGTGAACAGACCGATGGGTGTTCAGGGTCGGTGGCTTGGTAGGTCTTTGCTTACTACATCAATCAGGCTCGATTATTTACAAGCCACCGTCACATAGCGGATTGTGGAGATGGACAAGAAAATGTGCTTTAATAATTTCAGCTGAAAGAGTTGATAACATTGTGAGCGTCAAACTAAAAAATGATTCTATGCATCGTTTACAAGGGTCACACATAGCTTAAAACACCAATAGCTCATTATGCTTCCTGCAGAATGAAAAAGATGTAAAATCTATGAATAGATGTTCAATTGACTAACACACGTCAGTCTGAGCGGATTCGACCAACGACATTGCCTGCAGGGGCTAATCGTTAATTCGTTCACTAATACAGTATGTTTAGTATAACCCTACATTCACGTGGGGCGGAGTTTAAATACACCAATACATTTTATTCATGGCATATATTTCACATGTACGTGCACGTGTGTTCAGTATCAAAAGGAAACCAGTATGAATATTACCACACACGCTTGTTGGTTGGTTGGTTTATAGTTTTAGGGCGACGTGGACCAATAAGAGGCCTATTTGCGCCCAACACATTGACTTGATTTAATAAACAATCATAGGTAAATTCATCATTTTGTTAAGATAAAAGAAATGACAACACTATTAATATTAAATTGGATAGATGTATACAAATATCGAATAACCTCTGCTTTGTGTTAGGGATTCAAAACCTTAAGTAATCACTTCCATTTCTGAAACATTTAATACTCATTCATCAAAAAAAAGCAATAGGTTCAGATGACAGAGTGTTAAAATGATTTAAAACCACAGAACTAAATCTGTCTAAGCCATTCGAGAGCCTGTCTAGATAACATCATATTTTCCAGATGACGAGATAAAATCTAAAACTGCCCGTTGCACAGAACCATACATGATATTGGGGCCCAAAACTGTTTCTAAGGAAAATGCATCATCAACCTCAAGTGAGATTTTGTCTTATGTTGTTATGCCCAGGGCATGTAATTAGATAATGTTCGATATTTTCAGGCGTCTCCAAATTGCAAAGGCCACAGTTAGAAAAGACCGATTTTACATAAATTAGAAGTGAGAGCAATCGGTCTATAGGATGCAGGAAGCGATGGATGTTTTCCTGGTTTGGATACTGGAACTATTATTGCATGTCCCCATGTCCAAGGCAGGGATCCAGAACACCAACTTATGTTCAACAGTTCCCGAATAACAGCTAGAGTAGAATCTGGCATATGCTTAAACATTTCAGAGCACAACTCATCCGCACCTGGAAGCGAATTATGTGTTCTTGATATGGCTGCCTTAAGTTCATCATGAGTGATAGCTGTTTTAATTTCCACGCTACTGTCCAATACGGCAAAAGACATTTCAGGCAGAAAGTTTGTTTCAAAGACTTGTTTATATTCTCTGTATTCATCACAATAATTTTCAGAACTGCTAACAGATTTAAATTGTTTAACAAGGGCATTTACTTTCTGACTTTTTGATATGTGTTCCCCATTTTCTCCCATTACGGTAAAGGCGAACGAATATTATTTCTACCGATCGTTTTCACCTTGGACCTGATACTAGTAAATGATGCAAATCTATTAATATTAGAAATATATTCCCTCCAACTCAATCGTTTTGTACTCCGTACAATACGTTGGAACGTAGCTCGTTTCTTACGAAAATCAGCCAAATCACATGGCAATGACGAGTAACGAACCTTATTATATGCCTTCTTCCTTGCGTTATTGGTTTTTTACAGCTGTCATTCCACCAGAACTTTGGCGGAAATGCCGCTTTCTTAACAGACGATTTTCCAATGGAGTCTTCTGCAATTCTTATTAATTTTGTTGTGATATTTTCATTAGACATATTAACATCACCATTTATAAGATCGGATGTAATATGTTCAGCACACAGACCAGAAAAAGTGCCAAATTAGCCTTCTTGAATTTCCACCGAGGGACATTATCACAAGAATCACGATATGGTCGAACCTGAATTTCAGTAAAAACAGGAAAATGGCCACTACCTAACGCATCTTCCTGAAATACATCCCAGTTACACTAACTGGCTATGTGTGATGATATCATTGATAGATCTAAAGGAGAAAAAGTCCATTTGCCAAGATCCATGTGGGTCATTTTACCATCGTTTAAAAGGACAAGATCTGCTTCATCTAAAAATTGTTAAACTATCTGACCATTATAACCCGTCTTGTTGCTTCCCCAAAACATATTATGGCTGTTAAAGTCCTCACATATAAAATATGGGCCTCCATTGGGATCAATTAATTTCAGATATTCATCTACGTTTGGCTTACCTGTATTATAAATATTAAATCTTCCTCATAATGAATTTTTACTGCGTTAGCCTCATACACTGTATTTGGTAATTCGTGAACCGGATACGACAAATCAGTCTTAATAAATATAGCACAACCGCCTCTCCGGGGATTTGTAGTACTCGGACTAATGGTTAGTCTGTCCTGACGGAGACCAAGATTGCCATTAATTCTAAAATGACTCTCTGGCCAAAGAAAAGTTTCCTGTACACAAATAATATCGGGCTGTGGTGACCTATTTGATAGAAAATGCTTTAAATTATCCCCATGTGCAACAAGACTTTGTGCATTCCATTGCATTATGGTCAGGAATACTAAAGCTTTATCCATCATTCATCTCAACATGTACCTCACTCAACAGATCACTAGGAACATCGATTTGAAGATGTATTTTTGCCGCCGACACAAGACAATTCATCTGCTCCTCTTTAAAGCATCCTGAAATCAAAAAGGTTTCAGGAGAAGTACTAAGAATTGGATTGGCTACCAGTGGAGAGCTGACTTGAGCTGTAACAGGTGAATTCGATACACTCTGGTTTATATCTGACTCTCGTGACTGACGTTTACAAATACAGGTAGGGTTAGACCCAGATCTAGCTGCAAGAGGAACAGGACGGGTTCCATCTGTTGATTGCGAGGCTTGTAACGACACAGATCGTGATTTCTGAGCGGCGGTTACAGTAGCTGCATAAGATGGAGTTGGAGTGGGCTTGACTATACGAGTTGCTTCAGCATAAGATAGTTTACTCTGTACTCTTTGCACAGATACTGCCTCCTTGTATTTCTCACATCCCTTGTAGGCAGCACTGTGGCTACCACCACAATTGCAACACCTCGATACTTTTTCCGAACAATTTTCTACTTTGTGCTCACCACTGCACCTGGGACATACAGGCTTTTTACTTTTACATCGGGTTGAAACATGGCCAAACTTCTGGCAATTGTAGCATCTAATAGCTGGTGGGATATACAGATGCACACGAAAGTAGTGATAATACATCCTAACACGTTCAGGCAAATGTGGTGTTGAGAAAGTAAGAAGAATGGAAGTAGTAAGTTCCTTTTCTTTTCCACGCAAAAGTCTTTGGGCACATTTAACCTTTTGACTTTTCAATTGCTCAAATATCTCATCCTCATTTACATCTGTGTCAACATTGTAAATAACTCCCTTAGATTCACTACGACTCTTTGGGACAGAACTCTTGACACGAACGTCACAGACACACGCTACATTCTGTTCAAGGTTGCTCAGTAGTCCTGCTGTTTATAACTAAATCTCCCTTTTCCAGTTTTGTCATATACTCCACATCGCCAATGTTTTTATGAATATCCCGAGCCAAAGCAATTGGACTCAAGTTTGTAAACGTAATTTTTGGTCAACAGAAGTAAGAATGACATTACATTTGATAGGTAATGACGAAGTCGTATCATTTATAACTCGGTCATCCTCATGTTTTCGTTTCAAACGTTTGGAAATCATTGACACGTAATTGTCTGCAAATTCAGCATCTGTCGAGGTTTCCTCAAATGAGGTAGAGGGAATATTATCATCCCAATCCCCATCAGTGTCGCTCTCCATACCCAAAAATTTCTGTGATCAAGTCGAAATGAAAACTTTCACTCAGACACAATGCGCGAAAACTGAGGCCACGTAGTGCGGTAAGTCAACGCGGCACAACAAAACACACAGATATGGCAAAATGAGCCAATATTTGACCCTATGCAGCCAAAAATCACTTACCTTAATGATAATACAGAAATATAAGCCAAACGCAGTTATGAATATCAAATTCTAGACCCAACACAGGCCCTTACAGCGGAGCGACTGACAAGCACGCCCGACCCTGTCAACAGCCTAAGGCGTTTCCCGCTACACACATACATGGTATTTGATTAATCTTCCCTTGTGCTTATCCTTATTTGTCTTACCCATCTGGCAAAAGCTTCCGAACCATGGTGGTATGCAAACTGGGCCCGTTGAAGGGGCTGAACATGGAGTGTTGGGGAAATCTGAGCAGCCATTAGAGCAGTGGCATGACACTACAAAGAAGTCACTTGATAGAACCTTGAGCATAGTATCTGAATATTACCTACGTCCTATTATTATTACACTATTGAACAGTGGTATATATCGGGTCGTTTGGAAAATTTTATATGGAAGAACACTTCTCATTGTAAATGGGGAACTTTAAACCACAATTAATTTTTGAGGGTAAAGTTGTATTTTAAACATAATTATTTGTGTGATCTGTTTATGCAAGAATGTTGATAAAATATATTTTCCCTGAAGTGGCTCACAGGAGCTAGTCCTTATATCAACAGTAACCATGCAGTTCAGATGCTAAAACCGCCTCCGTGGTGTAGTGGTTAGAGCGTCCGCCCGGAGAGCGGAAGGTCGCGGGTTCCATTCCCGACCGCGTCATACCAAAAGACGTTAAAATATGGTACTTGTTGGTCCCTGCCTGGCGCTCGGCATTAATGGGTATAACAAGGACTGGTCGGCTCGGAGTCAGTATAATGTGTCTGAGTGGGGTATTCATGCTTCACTGCGGCATGGTATCTCAGTGGGCTAGCACTATAAAACCAGCTTCAGTCTGGGCTAGTACAAGCAGCCGCACATACACATACACACGCATGCACGTCGTCATATGAGCGAAATATTCTCGAGCACGACGATAAACCCAATTTCACCTCACCTCACCTCAGATGCTAAAATATTTAATGTCAGTTTGAAAAGCGTGTTTGTCGAATGTATTTAAGAGCAGCAGAAGATAAAGCGGGTGCTAGATGTTTACTACCGTCAGGAGGGGGTGGTAAATGGTGAGAGGTAAGAGTCGAGGGGTATAGGTGAAGAGGGATTTTGTGGCAGGAGAATTAGAATTTTAGTCATATGCATTTAGCATCAGATGAAGACAGCGAGTAGACGATGTTTACTGTTGTATGAAACGGGTTTGGTGATTGGTGAGGACTTCAATATTTTTGTCTGTTTGCATATTTACCTTTGATCTTACCAATCACATGCACCTGACAATATGTTAAGTAACGCCTGCTATGACAACCGTCACATTGCTGCCCTCTATAGGTTGTTTCAATATCTATACATTTGAACAAGGCTAGCTGGAGGGACATTGTTTGAAAGTATCCACTTAACATTTCAATACTGAGACAAGGTTTCCTCAGACGCTTGCGTTGTTGGATTTTATTTGGGAGCAGTTTTGTGGAATGGCAGTTTTCAAGGGGTTGTAGTTATTGTTATTCAATTTCAACATTTGGACATTATTGTTTGGTCTGTTTGTATCATTACCTTTCTTCTCGCCAAACACCTGCACCTCACAGAGTGCCAACCAAGGCCCCGCCATTTCAATGGTTACAGTGTCGCCCTCTATAGGTTGTATACAGCTGAGTGTCACAGGGTTACTTATCAGATGAGCTAGAGAATCTCTGATGTCTGTCACAGGTAGCTTTCGACATGTCCTGTTGTTGACCAATACTTCCATTGCTTGATATTTGTCAATGGCTGCAATAGAGCATATGTTACACATAAACAATCAAAGTACATCTGACGTTTAAAAATGAAATGTCGCGTGGTATGTTCCTTCATTTTACATACATGGACTCTTTATCGAAGGCAAGTTATTGTCGGGTCTGTAAACAGTTACGTAAATCCACTTTACACATCAGTTCAAATCCTTAGCTTCAGCAGTCTGCTGTCAGACAGGAAGTGTTTATGGTCATACACTTTATTTTGTTCTCATAAAAGAGAGAGAACACAACTTACCGTTACTACGGAGATAGATTGTGATCCGGCTGATTAGGTACGTCCCACCAAGAAAAATATGCCAGTTGGCATTCCCACCACCCTGTTCGTCTGTATGTGAACAACTACCACTGTTCCAGTCTGTGCTGACATTCCCGTCAACAGCTCTACTGGCATTATATGTACCGGTATTGTCTGTCCATGTGCTGCTCTGACTGGCAGGTTTACCATGTGCGATGTTATCTGTCAACAAAACGATAACATGTTATAACAGTAATGCTGTTACTAATATTGCATGTTTACCATTTGCGATGTTATCTGTCAACAAAACGATAACATGTTATAACAGTAATGATGTTACTAATATTGCATGTTTACCATGTGCGATGTTATCTGTCAACAAAACGATAACATGTTATAACAGTAATGATGTTACTAATATTGCATGTTTACCATGTGCGATGTTATCTGTCAACAAAACGATAACATGTTATAACAGTAATGTTGTTACTAATATTGCATGTTTACCATTTCCGATGTTATCTGTCAACAAAACGATAACATGTTATAACAGTAATGCTGTTACTAATATTGCATGTTTACCATTTGCGATGTTATCTGTCAACAAAACGATAACATGTTATAACAGTAATGATGTTACTAATATTGCATGTTTACCATGTGCGATGTTATCTGTCAACAAAACGATAACATGTTATAACAGTAATGATGTTACTAATATTGCATGTTTACCATTTGCGATGTTATCTGTCAACAAAACGATAACATGTTATAACAGTAATGATGTTACTAATATTGCATGTTTACCATTTGCGATGTTATCTGTCAACAAAACGATAACATGTTATAACAGTAATGTTGTTACTAATATTGCATGTTTACCTTTTGCGATGTTATCTGTCAACAAAACGATAACATGTTATAACAGTAATGATGTTACTAATATTGCATGTTTACCATGTGCGATGTTATCTGTCAACAAAACGATAACATGTTATAACAGTAATGATGTTACTAATATTGCATGTTTACCATTTGCGATGTTATCTGTCAACAAAACGATAACATGTTATAACAGTAATGATGTTACTAATATTGCATGTTTACCATTTCCGATGTTATCTGTCAACAAAACGATAACATGTTATAACAGTAATGTTGTTACTAATATTGCATGTTTACCATTTGCGATGTTATCTGTCAACAAAACGATAACATGTTATAACAGTAATGCTGTTACTAATATTGCAGGTTTACCATGTGCGATGTTATCTGTCAACAAAACGATAACATGTTATAACAGTAATGCTGTTACTAATATTGCATGTTTACCATGTGCGATGTTATCTGTCAACAAAACGATAACATGTTATAACAGTAATGATGTTACTAATATTGCAAGTTTACCATTTGCGATGTTATCTGTCAACAAAACGATAACATGTTATAACAGTAATGCTGTTACTAATATTGCAGGTTTACCACGTGCGATGTTATCTGTCAACAAAACGATAACATGTTATAACAGTAATGTTGTTACTAATATTGCATGTTTACCATGTGCGATGTTATCTGTCAACAAAACGATAACATGTTATAACAGTAATGATGTTACTAATGTTGCATATGTGTGTTGGTTATATCTATGAACGCATACAAAAAGTACATATATGATGTTTGATAAACTTGTGGTTCTGCCTGCACAATACTACCACATAAAAGGGACGGCGGGTTAGCCCAGTGGTTAAAGCATTCGACCCGGGTTCGATTCCCACATGGGCACAATGAGTGAAGCCAATTTCCGGTGTCCCCCGCCGTGATATTGCTGGAATATTGCCAGATGGTGTAAAACCATTCACTCACTCACACACTACCTCATAAAACAGATCCTTTAAAAGTAAATGTCAATTTCTGAGAATAATATTGAGCTATAACGAAGATCCTAGTTTCACCTGTTGCAGCTGGGTGAATATTATTACCACTGACTGTATTGCTGTTACACCTGCTATTATATGTACAGCTCCACTAACGTTAATGCTTATAAAGTAATGTCAACCAGATTCTAGATTTCAAGGTGTATTACTTAAACCTTAAACAGAAAACTCTAAAGCCAAATACTAAATCCGTGACATATATCAACACCGGACTTTGCCTAACACGAGCTCGACATATAACAAGCCTAGCACCTACATGTATCAAAACAATCACGAAAACAGTCCGCTTGTGGCGTTACGTGCTGTTTTAGGATCATGGAATCTTTCCGTTAATTGTTAGCCATGAATATGGGCTATACACAAGAAATACCAAGCACGTATCAAAACAACTCACGAAAATACATCTCTATTGGGATTTGCCCACTGTTATGGTTTTAGAAATCGTATTTAAGCAAAAATAAAAAGATCGCAAGTGACTCAGTGGCATTTGATTGGCTAACAATTTGCTGGAATGTTTACAGCATTGCATTGTTAACTGTAGAAATGCCATTATCGTAGCATTATGATATTCCGACATCACTGAAAAACAAAACCTTAACCCAAAAGATGATCACTACATTCACCGCCGTGGCCTTGAATTTCGGGTTATAAATGAGACTAACGGAAATATATTGTCAGAAATGTCCTGATATCAAATAGTTCCACATTGTAGCGTCAATCTCATTTGAACTTAACTGCATGGAAAATGAATGAATGAATGGATGGTTGGATGGTTGGATGGATGGATGAGATGGATGGGATCGGATGGATGGATGGATGGATGGATGGATGAATGATGGATGGATGGATGGATGATGGATGGATGATGGATGATGGATGGATGGATGTGTGGGATGGATGGGATGGATGGATGATGGATGATGGATGGATGGATGGATGATGGATGGATGGATGGATGGATGGATGGATGATGGATGGATGGATGGATGGATGGGATGGATGGATGGATGGATGGATGGATGGATGGATGGATGGATGGATGGATGGATGGATGGATGGATGGATGGATGGATGGATGGATGGATGGATGGATGGATGGATGATGGATGGATGGATGGATGGGGACGGATGGATGGATGGATGGATGGATGGATGGATGGATGGATGGATGGGATGGATGGATGGATGGATGGATGGATGGATGGATGGATGGATGGATGGATGGATGGATGGACGGATGGGGATGGATGGATGGATGGATGGATGGATGGATGGATGGATGGATGGATGGATGGATGGATGGATGGGATGGATGGATGGATGGATGGATGGATGGATGGATGGATGGATGACGGATGGATGGATGGATGGATGGATGGATGGATGGATGGATGGGGATGGATGGATGGATGGATGGATGGATGGGATGGATGGATGGATGGATGGATGGATGGATGGATGGATGGATGGATGGATGGATGGATGGATGGATGGATGGATGGATGGATGGATGGATGGATGGGTGGATGGATGGATGGATGGATGGATGGATGGATTGATGGGATGGGATGGGATGGGTGGATGGATGGATGGATGGATGGATGGATGGATGGATGGATGGATGGATGGATGTGATTGATGGATGGATGGATGAAATAGAATCTATGTAGAGAAGTCTTAGTGGTTAAGAAGGGGTGAAGCGGGCGAAACAAGCGAGCCCCTTCTGAGCCACTAAGATTACTCTACATAGATTCTAACGGGCTTAGAACTCCACCTGCTTTTGTACGACAGTTATGTAGTTACGTCACTAGCAAGGTCATATCCTCCGTCATTTCATTTCTTTACGTCACAAATTCAAATTTTCCGAGCAGAAGTGGAGAGTCATGAACGAGCAGTCCGATTACGTAAATTTTGATTTGTTGTTCGACGAACTTTTCAGCAATACTGACTTTGAATCGGTTGAATGTACACACACTCCAAGTCTAACCCAGTTGCTGTCTATTCCATCTCAAGATTTTGTAAAACATGAGGAAAGTGAGGGTGGTGTCGCCCCATCTCTATCATCCTATAGTACTGAAATCAAACAAGAACAAAAGGAAGCGATACCGAAGAAAACGCGAAAAAACAACCAGTGGGCACTAAATGTATAGAAAGACTGGGTGCAGTACCGAAATCAGCAGCTTCAACTCTCTTAGAATTTGGTGTAATTCCAGAGGATATTTCTCAGTTGAACAATCGCGACCTTGATTTCTGCAGGCAAAGTTTCATCCTTGAAATACGGAGGAAGGACAAAACGTTATGTATGTGTCACGTGTTTCGCAAAATATGCAAGGAGGGTTGAAACATCGCCGCGTTGATAATGAATCTATCATTCATTCTGAACAACCCGGAAACCCGAACTGTCTAGTAAAACTTTATGACAAGTATTTGTCGTTGATTCCGAGAAAAAGGACCCCTGTGCAGGAAATTGCATGCCGCCATTGATGACGGCCTACCCAGGTTCAGTGTAAGTTGTGTTCCAAACAATAAACTGTCTGGTATGTATAAGAAGTTTTATCAGCAGGCAGGTATTGATACCGAGGGCAGGAATATCTCCAACCACTCAGGCCGCGTAACATGCTGTACAACATTGTACAACAGTGGATTTACAGACAAGTCCGTCACAAGTCGAAGTAAACATCGCAGTAATGCTGTGGGAAGTAACCAACGTGAACAGTTTGGACTTCTACAGGACATCAGTAACACCCTGGGGCCGCCATGTCCAACTGGGGGTGATCAGCGCGAATGCAAAGACGAAAGCGTTAATAACCCAACCCAGAATATCAGGGATAATCCTCTGTTTCTAAAGATCATAATGAAAACGGTAAAAGGATTGTTTTGGATATACCCGATTGTGTTGAAACTGTTGTAATCTGTAAAGGCGAAAAGAAAGTCACTGTTGACATTTAATAAGTGATATATTATGTTTGTTGTTAAAGTGCAACATCAGCAGTCTTCAGTTTTCAGTTTTGTGTCTTCACGACATTCGAGTAACGTCAACCTCACGTCAATAAAAAATGAAAACATTGTTGTTGTGTATCTTTTGACACATCTGCACCTGGGCGTGTCCTATATGCCTGCTGAATGCCGAGTTCTTAATCATTAAGAGTCTATTGACACAGGGAAATGGGATCATTTGATTGGTTTAAAAAGTAGGCTGAGTTCTGAGGAAGGTAGGAAGGATGGATAAATGAATGAATGAATGAACACACAATGCTTGGTGTTTATGTATAGCATCTACGTGTAAAGAACATAGCAATCTAGAACTTACGTATCTGACAAAACGTTCCAGACCAGTCTGTGTGACAAGCTGGAGGAGGCACTGAACACACGTCGGGAGAAGAAGGACTGCATCCATTCTTGTAGTGACAACTTGATCCTGGTCCTCGGGTAACATATAAATAACATACTGACAGAGCAGATTGTGAAGTGGAATCCATAATGTAACAACAGAGTATATTATGAAATCAAATACATGGTTCACAGCTCTGGATTCGAAAACATTACTCTTTCATTCACGTGATACGACACAGTCTATTTGACCACCGCCAACAAGTACACGTGTAGGTTGTCAGGGACACGTGTAGGTTGTCGGGGACCCCTGTAGGTTGTCAGGGACCCGTGTAGGTTGTCAGGGACCTATTGTAACCCGGAATACCAACATGGTGAGAAACAGGAATATAAATAACACAGCAGTACCTTGTGCAGCTGTACCCGACGCAGCCTGGATGATCACCAGTAGATAGACAGCAGACCTCATCTTACACAGGTCAGGTACTGACAAAAAATCGAATTATCTGAATGAAAACAGAAATAAAATATTTTAAAAAGGAGGAAAACATTTCCAAATTGTGCATCGGTCACGCAATTCCTTGTTTTGATTTGTACCACACGCACCGTATTTTGTCAGGTGTACAAGTGACTAACCTTTGCATTTGTTTATGACGGATGTCACCCTCAGAGCAGGATGTGCTCACCTTTCCGCAAAAGCTGGCAACATCACTATTTGATAGTGAATATACACAGTCATGCTTATGATATTGTCGATACTGGTTTTGGCGGAGGTATTCGTCTCATGTATTAACATTCATTATAGCTCAAATACATGGAATTATCATGAAACGGCCCTCCCATTATCAGAAATTTGCGGTCCGCTGCAAATGATATTGGACCGCTCAACCTTAACGACGGGCCACTATCAGTTCTGTTGTCAAGTGACGTCATAGTTCGACATTAATTGTCTTTCAACTGGCAGATATTCTGGGTCAAACAAGTCAAAGCAACCCAAATTCCCACTTTAAATAGCGGTAATATTGACTTTCTTGTTGGTGCTAACCTTAACAGTTGCACTGTTAAGGCTGTTGATGGACCAAAACCGAACACTGACATAGTTTGACATGTTGCAGGCTATGGTCTTGTCAAAGGCCAAGGTCGAATATCGTCACTTTCTGTTGTGACGTCACTTGAATTGTTCGATGACGTAATTACATTTGCGCAGTCAACCCCGTCAGAAGTTGATTTGGGTAAACGTACAGTCAAATTCCTTCATTGTTTCCTTTTTCTTTTCAACACAAATTCCATGTATTTTAGCAATAATAACGGTAATGCTATTTTTGAGGGCATTATCATTTTCAGAAGCCCTCGGTCTTTTCCAGTTAATGGAAGACCTCGGGCTTCTGCAAATGATAATGCCCTCAAAAATAGCATTACCCTTATAGTATAATATACCAGCTTGTGAAAGTGAAATCTGAAATCTTCTGGTAAAGCATAGGCTAATCCAGCACAATATGGAACATTCTGGAAACCATTAAAACCATAAAAGAGAGCAAGTTCATGGCTCCAATATTTCACGTTACTCCAAGAGCAGCGGTTGTGTGAAGATCATAGATTCACCTATTGCTACTGGGTGAATATACTTAATTAGTATTACCACAGCCATTTTATGTTATGTCAGACTCGATTATTTACAGACCGCCGCCATATAGCTGGAATTGCTGAGTGCGGCGTAAAACTAAATTCACCCGATCACTAACTTATACCGTCAACGTAACTGTACTGCCATTGGATGTTGTACTGTCACGCTGTAGTATACTGCCACTGAAATTACTTATCAGTAATGCTTTGTAAACCTACTGCACCTATTATAATACATACTGAGATGCGAAGACACAATGCCTCTTTAAGCATTACATGCACTTATAGCTAAAGTGGATAGAATTATCTTTAAAACGCCCGCACGTTATCAGAAATGAGCGGGTCACTGTAACTTGATAATGCCCGCAAAATGCTTGATGATGGGCCATTATCAAGCCCGTTGTTAGGTGACGTCATAAGTAGCTCAGCTGTTGATGTGCAATCACCTACGGTTCGTTTGAACTAGGGTTCAATATTGACGAAATTTCTGACTCACATTCGTCACATATACCTGTGCCTTTATGCACTCTCTTGCCGGTGTCAACCATAACAATTGTACCATAAATTACAACATACAGCAATGAAAACATTGACTGGAACGCTAACGTTGTTCAGCACTGAATAAAATGGCGGCTGGTAGTATGGGCAAAGGTCAAGGTCAAATGTCGTCACTCTCCATCGTGACGTCACCTGTTTTGTTCTATGACGTTTCCATGTTTGTAAAAGGTGTGTCAGTGACCTCCTCGTTTGTTGTTAGCAATAAATGCTTCAAAACGGATGCCGTTGTTTTTATTCTTATGTTATTAGAAATTCTATCCATTTTAGCTATAATAACCCTCGATCTTTTCACCTGCCTCCTTCGTCGGGCAGTTAATGAAAGACCTCGAACTTCTGCAAATGATGATGCCCTGAAAAATAGCGTTACCCTTATAACAATGTATATTTGTAGATGTCTATAAGTTCATGCCATGTGACTGAAATAGTTGCGTCGTACGTATGACCAGAGAGGTGTTACCTGGCAGGTCAACGTCGCTACAGATGTGAGTATTTCTCGGTTACGGCAAAGTGGTAACAGCTTAATCAGGGTCGTGCAGTGCAGAATAGTGGCTAATGTCCCTCCTTCTCTCTCCTCCCTCCCCTCCCTCCCTTCCCTCTATCTCTCTCTCTCTCCCTCTCTCTCTCTCTCTCTCTCTCTCTCTCTCTCTCTCTCTCTCTCTCTCTCTCTCTCTCTCTCTCTCTCTCTCTCTCTCTCTCTCTCTCTCTCTCTCTCTCTCTCTCTCTCTCTCTCTCTCTCTCTCTCTCTCTCTCTCCATGGAATATACATCCTATCTTTTTCAGTGTGCTACAATTATCATACACGTTATAACATGTGGGCCACGTTGCCTCGTGCATATCGTGTTCTCATCAGCGCGGGTTACTTCAAAACAACTTGGCAGATATCGAATTAACATATTTTGTATCACCCGAGTCACTACTGGACACATGTACAATCCCAGACCCGGATGTAGAGCTCGCTCAACAGATGAGAATGTATTAAATGTGTTTATTTGCAGAGTTGACAATGCTCAAACTTGAGATAAATCAGCCCTGAATTTCTTGAAATTGAAATCTGTACTATCAAGAAAAGAAAGGGGATATTCAGTAAAAAGGAGTCACAACTATTGATATTTTATATCTATAATGAATTAGATAATTAAGCAGTGGTACAGGAACAGATCTGAATAAGTCGTTGAACGTTTTATTAGATGGTTCAGCTCCCTTCTGTCTTTCACGCCATTTACCATGAGAGTCAAACTTATAGGTATCGCGTGAATTCGCTTCTATTCTCAAGACAGTTTAGGATTCAACCAGACATACTCCCAATCCAACGTCCAATGTCAACATGCGTGTATTTCCCACTGATAGCTTATATGCGATGCAAATGAATATCAGTATGTTTATGTATTTCCCCTTAATATGGCACGGTGGGCGAGCTGGCTAAGGCGCCAGGCTAGTGATCCAGCGAGGTTGAGGTGTCGGGATCGAGCCCACCTGTGACCGGGTGTAAAAACCTTGGAGTCAACTTTGTGCGCAGACTCTTTCAGTGTTGTCACAACCCCTAGTGTACAGTACACAACCCTGTGCACTTAGAAGAACCCACGAATCCGTTGGTATATGACCAGATGGTGGCCACATGAATACGTGCAAACACCAAGTTGCGGGTACAGCAACGTGCAGTGAGCATGGACAAAGTACTGTGACTATGTGTCCCAGTCCACCCAGCTGTGAATGGGTACCTCGTTAGGATGAGAAAGCCACAATAACTAGGTGCGCCTAGTGGCTGCAAGAGTTGTATACTCCCCAGGGAGTTGAGATTGATAATGCGCTGTGCCGTTGAGATTGACATCCATTGATCGAGGGACAAAAATACCAGAGCATGCACTAGTGCGTGGATATGTCCGCTATATAAATATCCTATAATAATAATTATGTAGTTTCCGTAAACCATTTATTGGAAATTGTAAGAGAAGCATAAATCGACACTCATTCAGCAACTTCCTCAATTCTTGAGTGGGTGATGTTAATTTTACGCAGCTTTTTTTATATTCCATCAATATTATGGCGGCTTACCAAAGAAACCATTCTAAGGGCTTTCCTTCTAAACGAAACGACACGTTAAACGCAGTCTGTCTTGTGATAAAAACACAGTTTTCAAGTTTATCTTACAAGAAGAAAACGTTCCTTTACTTCGATCCCAGACAGAGTTAAAAAATTACAATAACGAAACTTAAGTCATAGCTTACTCCAATTGGGACTACAATACATTTGTAAAATATTTGACCAGTTGCCATGCATAAGTTGTTTGTTTGAACTTTTATGAATTCGTCAAAGACACTTTATATATTGAATGACATTATATGATTTGTTGTGCAACAAAATAAGTGAAATAATAATAATATTTTAAAAAATATCACGACAGGGGACACCAGAAATAGGCTTCACACATTGTACCCATGTGGGAATCGAACCCGGGTCTTCGGCGTGACGAGCGAACGTCTTAACCACAAGGCTACCCCACTGCCCCCTTAATACAATATCAAATTTAACAACAGCCTCATGCCTATAGAAAATTAGGGTGATGTTGAATTTTACACCTGTATCTCACTTATATCACTTTACTGTCCACAGCAACCTGTAGTAGACCTAGACCAAACTAGTGGTAATGACAGCGGCATTCCAAAGTAAACCAGAGCCACTTTTGTCTGAACTTGTGGTAATGACAGCGGCAATCCGAAATAAAGCAGATCCACCTTTGTCTGAACTTGTGGTAATGTCAGCGGCATCCGAAGTAAACCAGATCCACTTTTGTCTGAACTTGTGGTAATGTCAGCGGCAATCCGAAGTAAACTAGATGCACTTTTGTCTGAACTTGTGGTAATGACAGCGAAATTCCGAAGTAAACAGATCCACCTTTGTCAAAATTAGAGGTAATGACAGCAGTAATCCGAAGTAAAGCAGTTCCATTTTTGTCTGAACTTGTGGTAATGGCAGCGGCAATCCGAAGTAAGGCAGATCCTCTTTTGTCTAAACTTGTAATGTCAACGGCAATCCGAAGTAAAGCAGATCCACATTTGTCAAAACTAGTGGTAATGGCAGCGTCAATCCGAAGTAAAGCAGATCCACTTTTGTCAAAACTAGTAGTAGTTATGTCAGTTTCGATCTGAAGTATAACAGGTCCACTTTTGTCAAAACTGGTGGTACTGTCCGCTGCGTCCAGAGGTAAAGCAAATCCACTTAAAAATGATACGAACAAATACCGGTAAGGAAAACACTCACCTGTTCTCCAGCCTTCGCCAGCTTGTTTTAAACAAGGAAGACAATTAATCTCTTATCACCAGATGGAGACAGGATTCACAGCAAATGACTGATAACCCATATAGTCACTCTGAAATGATCGTCCGACAATGTATCAACGTGACCCTTATAAAGGTTGCTTTGTAACCTGTTTCGTGAGTTTTATCATACACATGTGCACATGTAACCTTATACTCAGCGCATAATTTTACTTCCTGAATTCTCTCTCATTGGTAGTATACTTAACAAATTAGAAACTTGACAGTCACATTACTGACAATAACTCTGAGTGATGATTCTTTTTAGTGTCTTGTGATGCTATACATACGGCAATAACATGCAGTCTTCTTGAACATGTTCTTGGCGACCAACGTGGGTCATAAAGGGTGATACACAACATCACGTACAGCGAGTCACATGATCACCTCAGCGATCGCATTGATGGCATTGCATGCATGCTGAACAGGAACATGGATCAAAATTTATTGCAGACAGACTGCTTTATAATGTCCCACCTCAATATAAAATAGTGGGTACAATGTGTGAAGCCCATTTCTGGTGTCCCGCGCCGTGATATAGCTGGAATATTGTTAAAAGCGGCGTAAAGCTGAACTCACTCACTCAATATAAAATAGACACAGTACAAAAAGCAATGACATTTTAGCCTCTCATATAAGGAGTTAGGAGAAACTAAGTTCTGTAAAATGTACGCAAAGAATATATATAATTGTATCAAACGATAAATGTTATAATAAATGAATATAAGCAATTAAATTACATGTATCATTTACATACGCGTATGCATACACATAAGACTTTACACTTAGAAAGAATAAAATGACAGGTTTGGGCCGCAATAAAACACGCATTAGTGTTGGATAAGATATATTATAACTTTTGATTGCAAGTTTGATGAAAAGGCAAGTATGCAGCGTCTCACACATCAGCAACGTGAGCGTCCACGAACTTAGCCAAGTACCCATTGACCAATGGCGAGGACCTCTGGCATGTGTCCGCTCTGACAGGTTCTCCTGTCCACGGGGAGACGGCCGCATTTAGCTAAAACCCACCCTTACAATATAAGTGTTGTAAAAAACTAGGAAAGTAAATCTGAAACTGTCAGTTAACTAGAAATGAAACAAGAACGGGGATTCTTTGTTTGTATGACACATTTCTGAATACGTCGTTATTTGTCCAGTTAAGACGTATATTTACTAAAGGCAATTCTCAACATCTCAAATCCGTTGAACAGCAAACAAGACATTGTAATAGGCGTTTATAACAGTGAAACATAAATATTCCGATAGAATGTGCATATCCATATTTTGGTCTAATTATTCGATTGTCACGACCTACGGATAATTACATTTATATTCGAGAGTCCCCGCGACAAATAAGCTTTCTGTTTAACTTTGAGTCATTTAACCGTTCAAGCCAAGCTGAAACCGTAGAAGCAGGACGTAAACAGGACGTTAGATAATTTCAGCGTATTGAGAGGTCGAATACCTTGGCCCTTTTCTGATAACCCACCTGTTGTTAACTGACAGGCGACCAGTTGTATTCTCCACATGGAGTGTTCTGTACTCGTTGACCAGGGGTAATATGTCAGCGCTTTGAGCATGCAATGTGCATGGATAAACGCGCAATATAAATGGATTATTATTATTATTATTATTATGTTGACAAGCGGTGCTAGGTTTGGAAACCTGTACCGTATTGCAGGAAAATAACAGCGTTTCATTAACACATGTACTTGAAAACCATACACCACCTAGCTACCAAAGTATTCAGACACTCTGACTGAAAATAAGCTAACCGTAAACTCTTCTGTTGATGTTGTATAAGTAACAGTAAACATAAATGTCTCATGTAAACCAAGATGATGTACTTTATTGCGTAAAAGAAGCACATCCAGGGACTTGAATTAGCCATGGTACCCAGTGCGTTATGATGTGTAGGTATATGACACGACACGACACCAAGTGAGTTGTGATATCTCTTTATATGACACGACACAACACCAAGTGAGTTGTGACATCTGTTTATGTGACACGACACAGCACCAAATGAGTTGTGATATCTATTTATATCACATAACATAACACCAAGTGTGTTGTGATATCTATTTATATGACATGACACGACACCAAGTGAGTTGTGATATCTATTTATATGACACGACACAAAGTGAGTTGTAATATCTATTTATATGACGTGTGGATGACGTGTGTGGAGCTCGCAGCGAGGAGTCACGTTTTCAGTGCTCTGTGTGTATACACAGTGTTCTCTATACTCAGAATACAAAAGAAGCTGAAATCCGCAACAGACATTATAGTAAGTTCATAGAACTTGTAGCGAGAAAAAATATTGGAAGAAATAACATAAAAGAGTTTTATAACAACATGCTTGAAAAACTCAGCTGTGAAGCTACTGTATTCATGTGAAGCACGGACTTGACATGTGTGTGTCGATTTCATGCTGGCGAGCGCGCGTCGGGTGTTTCCACTCGACACGCTGTAAACAATTGAACTCAATTAAATCAATTACAATCAAAGGGGGTTTCATTGAGAGACAATTAAAGGTGATTGTGATAATAAATTTGACTCTCTACCTCACCCAGACTGACTACTCGGATTCTGACACCATGTGTATGAGTGTGGCCAAGTACCCAGCCAGTGACGACTACCTTGAGACCAATCCGTTCATCGCCCGTCTACTGGAACTGTGCTCTGATATTGAGTTAAATCCTGGACCACCAAAGCGTCAGGTGAAAGATAAATCCAAGCAGGCGAAGCTTACTTTCAGTGGTGAGTGTGACTCGGAGGGTGAGTTCGAACCCAACGAAAATGATGTGCTGGCAATGTTTAAGGAGATCAAGAAGGACATGGTGAATTTGAATAACAAATTTGATAGAGTTGCTGCCGAAATGGAACGTGAACATGAGCTGTTGAAACAGGAAAACATCGAACTTAAAGGAAAATTAAGAGAGTTGGAAAGTAGAATAGATAACACAGAGGCGCAGAGCAGACGGTTGAATCTAATCATTCATGGACTCATTGGTAAAGCTGGGGAGATATGGGACCAGTCTGAGAGACTTGTACGAGACTTCATGAGGGAGAAGCTGGACCTGGACAACGCCGAGTCTGTTTCCATTGAAAGGGCTCACCGTCTCTACTCAAAGGCTAAAGTGAGGCCATTGATCGTCAAGTTCTCCCTATACAAGGACAAGCGTCGTGTACAGGAGGCGGCCAGGGCACTACTGAAAGGCAACGCAGAGCTCCGAGTGAGTGACGACTACACCGACAGGGTGAGGAAGATCAGGTCAGCTCTGATCCCTAGGATGATAAAGGAACGAGATGCTGGGAAGGAAGCCTACCTCTCCTATGACAAGCTCGTCGTGGAGAACAAGGTATTCGTGCTGGACGATGTCAACGATGGAAACAGTATCAGGCAAGTTGCGACAAGACGTAGTAATCAGAGAAACAGAGTTCCGGTTGACCCTGGCTCCGGGAGAAACTCGGGGACCAGGGCCAGCCGGAGCTCTACCCCGCTGTTTTCCTCCGCAGATCGCCAGCCAGCTGCAGCTGCAGATAGACGGGCTCCAGACGTGACGTCATCTCCCAGGGGAGACCAGTCCACATAGGACGTCGGCCGTGGTCCCAACAGGGATGATCAACACAGCTCACATTGTGAGCTGAGTGACTTTTGTGTATGGAATATACACGGACTCCTGTCGAAGTTAGACGATGGAGACTTTATTTCTTTTGTAGAAACATTTAAGCTATTTTGTTTGGTTGAAACCATGGTTCACGATGCAGACAAATTAAAAGACCTGTTCTCCAATTACTGCTGTTTCGCAACACCTGCCAAAAGGTTTAGTCAGTATGGCCGTTTTTCGGGTGGGGTAGCAATGTATGTGCATAAGAGCTTGCAGCACATCTGTACACGATTGTATCAGGAGTTTGATAATGTTGTTGTGCTGAAGCTGACATTTGCAGTTAGACAGTTGATACTATTTGGCGTATACATCCCACCGGAATATAGTCAGGTATATGATAAACAGGAGGATGACGGTATTGATTATCTAGAAAACAAACTATCAGTGGTTGCAGCAGATTTTGATTTGGGAAAACATGACGTTCTATTGATGGGAGATTTTAACGCCCGAACCGGGCTACTTGATGATTTTATCTTGGAGGATGAGGATGATATCCGATTTCTTAATCTCGGTTCTCTGTACCATGTGGATTCATTCTGTCAGCCAAGGAGTTCGATGGATGAAAAAGTTAATAGGTTCGGAAAATCTTTAGCATCACTGTGTAAAGCTTGGGGTCTTCACATTGTTAATGGAAGAAAGCCAGCGGATAGTGATGGTTCTTTTACTTTTATTGGGAATAATGGTACTAGTCTAGTAGACTATTTCCTTGCATCAGCTAGTCTGTTTTCGTTAATAACGGATATGAGAGTACATTCTTCTACAGTGTCTGATCATTTACCTATATCATGCAGTTTGAACTACGAATCTACGTCTACGTATACTACGGCTTCAACTAATATTCCATCTTTTGATGTACCTAAGTTCCGATGGAAAGAGTATGGGAAACATCTCTTTAGTGCTAATTTTGAAAATATCAGAGCTAAAGAGCTAGTATCAGAGTTTACATCTCTTCTTGAAAAAACTGATGTTAATGGTGCGGTTGAAAAATTATGTCAGCTTTTCTACTTTGCTGGGGAGCACTTTAAATCCAACAGGGGGGTTGCTATGAAATCTATGAAAAAACAACCGATTTGGTTTGATAAAGAATGTTCTTCTTTAAAACGTAAAAAGTATAGCACTTTAGAAAAGCTACGTATGAACAGAAACAGAGTCAATATCAATCAATACTTGGAGGCCAAACGTATGTTCCGGCGCATCTGTAACGAAAAAAGGAAACATTCATTGCCGAA